TAAGCTAACTGGTCTATAATTCCCCATCTTTTGTCTACTTCCCTTTTTAAACAGTGGCGTCACATTTGCTGTTTTCCAATCAGCTGGGACTGCCCCAGAGTCCTGCGAATTTTGGAAAATTACCGCCAGTGCACCTGCTATTTCTCCCGCCATCTCTTTTAGTACCCTGGGATGCATGCCATCAGGGCCAGGAGACTTATCAATCCTTAGCTCCATTAGCTTGCCCAACACTACCTCTTCCGTAATTATGATTGTTTCCAGGTCCTCACCTACCTTCGTCTCTTTGTCTATTACTGGCATGTTATTAGTGTCCTCCACTGTGAAGACCGATACAAAATACCTGTTCAATGCCTCAGCCATTTCATCATATCCCATAACTAAATTCCCCTTCTCATGCCCTAAAGGGCCAACGTTTACTTTAGCCACTCTTTTTCGTTTTATATATTTATAGAAACTTTTCCTATCTGTCTTTATATTCTGTGCTAGTTTTTTCTCATGTTCTATCTTACTTTTCCTTATAGCTCTTTTTGTGGCTTTCTGTTCATCTTTAAAGTTCTCCCAATCTTCTAGTTTCCTGCTGTTTTTGGCCACTTTGTATGCCTTCTCTTTCAATTTGATAGCCTCCCTTATTTCTTTAGACACCCATGGCAGATTACCCCTTTTCTTACAGTCCTTCCTTTTCATTGGAATATACTTTTGCTGAGCACTTTGAAAGATTGCTTTGAAAGTCTTCCACTGCTCGTCAACTGTCCCACCATAAAATCTTTGTATCCAGTTTACTTTAGCCAAGTCCTCCCTCATTCTATTGTAGTTCCCCTTGTTCCCACCAATCTTTCCAAAAAGCAACGTGATAATGATTTTACAGCTTTTTGTTTTGTTAGTGATTGTTAGTTGAAGGATAAATATTGGCAAAGACATGAGGGAGAACTCCTCTGGTCTTCTTGGAAGTAGTTCCCTATGATCATTTACAAGGTCAAATGGGATAATTCACATTTCGTGTGAAAGATGTCACCTTCAACAGTTCAGCATTGGAGTATTATTCTATCTTATCTGCTTAAATCTATGAAAAAAGACTTAAACCCACAATGATCATAACTCAGAGGTGAGTGTATAACCCACTGAGCCCCTGCTGACTTCAGTTAGAATTACCGCTCCTGATATATTCCATGGCCTGTGGATTGTTATGGATTGTGGGTGATGCAGGAATATAGCTGTCTGTGATGCCACACAAGATTGATCATCTGTTCTGTGACTTTCAGATCTGCTCTGGTTGAGATACCTTAAAGTACTCTGGTACTTGTCACAGTGTGCTTTAGCCACTGTCAGCCCATTTAGGAGATGATTGGGAACGAAATCAAAGGGAATCAGAAAAAAATTAGGATCTTCATATAATTTTCAAGCAACAATGTTTCAGAATCTTATGACAGATGGTTTGCTGTAAACCTTACTGGTCATTCTCAGTAAGTGAGAGATTTATTGTAGATTGTGACATATAATAGAAAATCACTGATGTTTCAGAAAATAGGACAGGAGTAGGCCATTCAGACCTTCAAGCCAGCTTCACCATTCAATATGATCATAGCTGATCATCCAACTCAGTACTCTGTTCCCGCTTTCTCCCCATACCCATTAATCCCTTTAGCACTCAGAACAATATCTAACTCCTTCTTGAAAACATTATTCAAAGATTGAAGCTTTGAAAAATCATTGCCAGAATGAAAATCAACTTGCACGTTGAATATGAAATGAGAACTGCTGTTGTTGATGTTGGTAGTTGCCATTTTGAAATGTATAAGCGCATCTTAAACCCCTGCCCCTTTTCTTGGCTACGTCACCTGCTTGATATGTAATCCAAAATCTCGGAGCTGAAAAACTTAAGCCAACACTCATATAGACAGTGATTCCTCACAAGAATATTGTTGAAGTGGGGAAGCACTGAAATTAGGCCAATGCGTTAGTTTTGTAAAACAATGTTCGAGAAATTTTGTAAAACAGCATTTAAAAATTTTTGTGAAACAATGCTTGATAAACTCGATAAACCAGCAATGAGCCCCTTTGTTGCATTTGAAGCAAAAGGCTGCAACAAGAATCTTACAGCTCAAAAGTTATTCAGCCCATCAAGCCTGTGCCAATTCTTTGAAAGCTAGAAGCTTTTGGAGTGGAATATGAACATATGACCTGCCAACTCAAGAGGCATGAGTTTTACCATGCCTTTCATAGAGGTAAAATGAAAAAGAAACCTCCTCTGAACAAAAGGTTAGAGAAATAATCACTCTACCCATATAGTGAAACTACTAACTTATGTGGGGCAGTACTATTTAGTTCCTCCTGTCTCCTCAAATCCTGTCCATCTGATAGACTTGCTGGTAACGCTTGTTTGGAGCAGAAGCAATAGTGAATAGAATAGAACAGAACTGAATTAGCTTTATTGTCATGTGCACTCAAGTGAGTGCAGTGAAAAGTTTGCAATGTTGCCACTTACGGTGCCATCTTAGGGACAAGATACCTAGGTACAAATACTTAAGCATTTGGTATAATATTGAAAGAATAATAAATAAAAATCCAGTATAAGAATAAAAAGAGAAAAAAAGTACTTGAAATACAGTCTTATTCACCTAAGTCCGTGCCATCACCTAGCCTTTAGACCGCACCAGGCCAAGTCTCCAGACCATGCTGGGCTTCAAAACTTGAGGCCTCGCCTCCAGTCCACATGGGCCTTGCCTCCCTGTGGCAGCCTTTAGAACGGGACCCGCCTCCCTGTGCCGGCCTCTGGCCTGGGATTCGAGTTCCGCATGCCAGCCTCCATTATGGGACTCACTACCTGTGCTGGGACTCCCCTCTGGGACTCACCTCCCTCACTGGCCTGGTCTGGGACCCACCTCCTGTGCCATCCTGGTCAGGGACTCACCTCATGCGCTGGCCTGGTCTGGGACTCACCTCCCTCGCCAGTCTGGTCTGGGACTCACCTCCCACTCCAGCCTGGTCTGGGACTTACCTCCCGCGCTGGCCTGGTCTGGGACTCGCTTCCTGCACTGGCTTGGTCTGGCATTCACCTTCCACGCCAGCCTGGTCTGCAACTCACCTCCGCGCTGGCCTGGTCTGGGACTCACCTCCCATGCTAGACTGGTCTGGGACTGACCTCTGGGACTCGCCTTCCATTATGGCCCAGTCTGGGAGTTGCCTTCTGTGCTGGCCAGGTCTGAAACTCATCTGTGATGGCCTCCAGTCTGAGAGTCACTTCCTCCATTCCCCTCCAAATAAGTTTAAAGTTAAAAGTTTGAAAAAAGAAGAGGAAAAGGAAAAGAACAGGCAGAGCAGATGTGCTCCTACTGTGCCGCCATCTTGAAAATGAAATTGGTATTGGTAATGTCATTAGATTCGTAATCCAGAGCCCCAGGCTAATGTTTTGGAGACATTGGTTCAAATTTCACCATGTCTGAATTCAATAAAATCTGGAATTAAAAATTGCCTAATGGCAACAATGTAGCCGCTGCCAATTGTAGTTTAAAACCTACCTGTTGCACTAATGCTCTTTCAAGAAAGGAATCTGCCCTTCTTACCTGGTCTGGCTTACATGTAACTCCAGACCAATGACAGTGTGGTTGACTGTTAACCACCCTCTGAAATGGCCTCGTATGCCACTCAGTTCCAGGGCAGTTAGGAATAGACAAAAAATGTGGGCCTGGCCAGCTCACATTCCATGAAAGAATAACCACAGAGGCACAAGTCAACGTGTGATGGAAGGCTCTCCAATTGCCTGCATGAGTGCAGCTAAGCAGCCCGCTCCATTGGTATCCCATCCACCACCTTCCACATTCACTCCCATTGCCACAGATACACAGCAGTAACAGTGTGTCCCATCTACAAAATGCACTGCATTAACCCATCAAGGTTCCTTCAACAGCACCTTTCAAATCCACAACCTCTACCTTCTAAAAGAGCAGTGTATACATGGGAACATCATAATCTGAGAGTTTTTCTCAAAGCCACATACCATCTAACTTGAATATATGTCAGTATTCATTTGCTGTTACTGGATCGAAATGCTGGAACTTCCTGTTTAACAGAATTGTTGGTGCAGTAGTTCAAGAAGGTAGCATACCACTACCTTCTCGGCGCAATGAGGGATGGGCAATGAATGTTGCCTAGCCAGCAATGCCTATATCCATTAGACCATAAGATATAGGAGCGAAATTAGGCCATTTGGCCCATCAGGTCCGCCATGCATTCAAACGTGGCTGATATGTTTCTCAACCCCATTTTCCTACTTTCTCCCCGTAATCCTTGATCCTTTTACTAATCAAGAATCCCATGAACAAATAGAAAATTGAACCTGGTCAGATCAGGATTGGAGATAATATAATACCCTATTTTCTTGACAGTAGGGTTGAGTATCAAGGGTGAAATTGTAGGCAGCAATGCAGGATTCACTAATGGAGCTTGATACAAGTTTCTGAGCCAACCTTGGTAAAATTTGGAAAGTAGAGATATTTTTCTGGAAGTTAATCATGTAGAATCCAGCACGTGGTCGGCTGGGGGAATGTGTTTGACGTCCAGAGGACCTTTCCTCGATTCATACTTGATGTTTGGAAAGATTTTATTGCCTTACAATAAGAAGAAATTGCAGTACGTCAAACCTTTAACTCACAGAAATATTCCCCAGGTGTTTCAAAAGTATGAGTACCAAACAAAATTGACACCAAAAGGTTGTCAAAGAAGTAGGTTTTAAGGAGCATCTTAAAGGACAAAAGACAGGTAGGTCAGGCAATAAGGCTTACTGTCAGAATTCCAGTACTATGATCTCAGGAAATTGAAGGCATAGATACCAGTGGTGGACAATGGAAATTGAGGATCAGCAAGAAGCCAGAATTGGAGGTGTGCAGAGATCTCAGAGGATTGTGGGACTAATGGAGATTTTTACTAGTTATTAATGCACAAATCACAAAGTCACTCAGCTGACAGTAATGAGCTGTGTTTGTTCTCTCTCCCCTCATTTCTAGGGCATTGTGGACTACATGGGCAAGGACAAGTAAGTGTTGGATCTTTTTTAACAGACTGTGTACATATACTCTTACAATAAAAACAAATTACTGCAGATGCTAGAAATCTGAAACAAGCACAAAGCATGCTGTAGAAACTCAGCAGATCTGGCAAATTTGTGGATAGAGAAATGGTTAACATTTTGAGTCTGATGTGACTCTTCTTAGAACTGTGTTTGTTGCATGTACTGTCATCCGCTGATATGAATAAACAAGCAAGACTGTTATCCCTTTGCAAAGTATGTTTGTAGCTCTATGTTGTTTACTGTGGTCCAATGTGCAGCACCCTCATATTCGAGTTTGAAGTTCTAGGTTGCAGATCTTGAGAATAAAATCCATTTGATGCTTCAGTACAGTACTGAGGGAGAACAATAAAGCTGGAGGTGACATCAATCAAGTAAGAGTAGGATATTCACCTGAGTACCTTGGACTAATATTTAATCCTTCAACTGATCTGATGACCTCTGCCCATCTCAGGAGACAATGAACTGCACCCTGATTATGTTCCACTTTTGGATTGAATGTCATCTGTCATGCTGTAGAGACCAGTCATGAGTGGTAGTTCTTTCTGCTGCTGGCAAAGATGAATGGGACTCGTCTGATGTCAACTAGCGTGTTTTCCTTCCATGGGGCTCTAATTTCCGTTATTGAGTCATTTCTTTTGTTCTCTCTTTTACCACGTTCTTCGAGATTGCTTGTCTGCAGGCAGTCTGGTCAGCAGACAGGACTTCTCTTTAGTTGACTCCAATCCCAGTCAACTTGAGGTCTCGTTTGCACTAACTCAATATCATCCAAGGCAAAGTAATTTGCTTGATTTACATCGTGTTCACAAACATCCACCACAAATGCAAAGTAGCAGCACTGTGTAACATCTACAAGACGCATTGCAACAACTCACCAAGGCTCCTTAGACAGCACCTTCCAAATTTCCAACCACTACCATCCAGAAAGACAAGGACAGCTGATACTTAGGAACACCACCATCTGCAAGACCCCCTCCAAGCCACTCACCCCATCCTGATTTAAAAATATATCACTGTTTCATCCGTTTCACTGGTTCAAAATCCTGGAACTCCATCTGAACAGTATTGTGGGTCAACCTACAGCACATGGACTGTGGCAGTTCGAGAAGCTCGTTCATCGTCACCTTCTCAAGGGCAAGTAGTGATGGGCAATGAATGCTGGTCCAGCCAGCGATGCCCACATCCCATGAATTAATTTTTAAAAATTGATATTCTTGTATTGCTGATACGGGTGATATGCTGGTCTTATGCTTATTGCCAGCTTTCAATGGTGTATGTCCTGGATCATTAATTGCCAGCACCCTGTTGCTTGATCAGCATCAGGATTACCAAGACCATAGCATTCTCATCTAGGTTGAGATGACGAACCTATAGCAAACTAACCAAAACTACAGAGCTCTATATGTATCAGTCTTCTGTTCTCAGCACCCTCCTTATAGCAGTGAAGCATGGAGAACTCTCACAGCTTAAGGCTGAAGTGCAACCTCCTCCACTGTTTCAGATGAGGTCAGAAATCACATGACACCTGGTTATAGTCCAAAAGGTTTATTTGAAAACACAAGCTTTCGGAGCCTCAGTCCTTCTTAAGGTGTTAGTGAAAGAGGTAGTATCAGACACAGAATTTATAAATAACAGATTAAAGGTTCACACCATTTTGTGCCTTCTGACTTTGTCCACCCTAGTTCAACACTGGCACCTCCATATGATTGCTGTCTCAGATGAATATTGGACATGTCTTGGCAAAAGAGGGTGCTGAATGTGGTGGTCCCTTAGAAAGAAAGAATCCGCAGTATGCTGGGCCTCTTTGGGTCAGTGGTGAGTCTGTTGGCTGGGTCATGTGAACCAGATGGATGATGGCCAGTTATGATGGTTAATCATCCCTCAATTAACATCACTGAAAAACAGATTATCTACCATGATCCCACTGCTGTTGAAGGAACATTGCTTTTTGTAATTTGACTGCATTTTGACAGTGACTGCAGTTCATAGAATCCCTACACTACCCTATCCCTGTAACCCTGCATTTTCCATGGCTAACCCCCAAGCTTGTATATCCCTGGACACTAAGGACAATTTAGCATGACCAATCTACCTAACCTGCAAATGTTTGGACTGTGGGAGGAAACCCAAGTAGACAGGGGGAGAATGTGTAATCTCCATACAGGTAGTTACCCAAGAGTGGAATCAAACCCAGGTCCCTGGCACTGTGAGGCAGTAGTGCTAACCACTGAGTCAGTGTAACACCCAATTTCAAAAAGTACTTGATTGGCATTTAAAGTTTTGGGACAACTTTAGGTTGTGAAACGCGTGCCATAAGTGTAGATTTTTATTTTTTATATGCCTGACTTTCAATTGACAGAATATGTGTTCTGGGATATTACCTAAAGAGAGTAAAATAGTCTGCATTGTTATGTAGGAATTATATTAAATATAGGTTTATATGATATAGTATTGTTACATGTCAGTTTGGAGAATGGTTATTGAGATCGTCACTGCTGAGAAATAAAAGCAGACAGTGCTGGAAATATTCAATAGGTCAGGCAGTATCTGTGGAGAGAAACAGTGGGCAAAACTTTCTGGGCTCACCAGGATATTTTCAAACAGTGGGCAAGAGAAACTTAATTAGGCAAGAAGCTAAGATTGAATTTTAAAGAAAAAAATCACTGCAGGATGTGAGCATTGCTCCCTGGGCCACCATTTATTACTGTTGAGAATGTAGTGTCAGATTCCTTCTTGAACCACTGCAGTTTTGTGCTGTAGATAGACCCAGTTATGGAGGGAGTACCAGGATTTTGACCTACACTAAAGGAACGGTAATGTATTTCTATATCAAAATGGTGACGGGCTTGGAGGGAAATTTCAGATACTGGTGATCCCATGTATCTGCTGCCTCCTAGAAGGTAGTGGTTGGGGTTTGGAAGGTTCTATTTAAGGATCTGTGATGAATTTTTGCAATGCATCTTGTAGGTGCTACAGTGAGTGCCTTTGTTCTAGATGGTTTCAAGCTTCTTGAGTTGAATTTCCTAATAACAAGTTAAGATTTTGCTATTCTGTTCTTGGAATCTTTCGGGAGGGCCAGCTTTCCCAATTTTCATAATTGGGAACTTGTTTTGCATTCATTAACATGTCATGAATACTCATTAAGATCCAAGATCACTGGAATTACATCCACAGGCACAATGTGGTTGGTAGAAAAAAAACAGAACATGTGTTCACAAAACCAACATATCGATGAGGCATGTAACTGATGGGTAGACTTCTATCTCCAAGTTCTGGTCAGTATAAATTTCTTCACAAGACCATAAGATATAGGAGCAGAATTAGACCATTTAGCCCCTTGAGTCTGCTCCATCATTCAATCATGGATGGTATGATTCTCAGTCCCATTCTTCTGCTTTCTCCCTGTAACCCTTGATCACCTTACTAATCAAAAAGCCATCTCTCTCTGTCTTAAATGTGCTCAATGACTTAGCCTCCACAGTCTTTTGCAGCAATGAATTCCACAGATTACTCACCCTCTGGCTGAAGAAATTCCTCCTCATCTCAGCTCTAAAGTGTCATCCTTTAACTCTGAGGCTGTGCCCTTGAGTCCTAGTCTCTCTTGCTGGTGGAAATACCTTCTCCACTTCCATACTATCCAGACTTCTCAGTATTCTGTAAGTTTCAATGAGATTCCTCCCTCATTCTTCTAAACTCTATCGAGCACAGATGCAGAATGCTCAATTGCTTCTCATATGACAAGCCCTTCATCTCCGGGATCATTCTTCTTAACCTCCTCTGGATTCCCTCCCAACGCCAGCACATCCTTCTCGAGGTACAGTGCCCACAGCTGCCACAATATTCCAAATGCAGTCTGACCAGAGTTTCATACAGCTTCAGCAGTTCACCTCTGCTTTTGTATTCTAGCCCTCTTGAAATGAACACTAACATTGCATTTGCCTTCCTAACTGCCAACTGAACCTGCATGTTAACCTTAAGAGAATCCTGAACTAGAACTCCTAACTCCCATTGTGCTTTGGATTTTCAAAGCCTTTCCCATTTAGAAAATAGTCTACACCTGTATTCTTCTTGACAATGTGAATGACTTCATACTTTCCCACTTTGTATTCCATCTGTCACTTCTTTGCCCGCCCCTTACCGTGTCCAAGTCCTTCTGCAGCCTCCTGCTTCATCAACACTATCTGTCCTATCACCTGTCAGTTACTTGGCTCCTTTGTAACCAAGTTGTTTCTTTGCACTTACACGTACAATGTGAGGGGTGAAACCTCACTAGTCAACCAGATCATGAGAAGTCTCAGTCACACACAGTCTTGCTTGCAGTTCTTAACAGCTTACGTTGTAATGGGTGAAGCCTCATTGGGTCAACTGGCTCCCGAGAGGTCACATTAAATGCAGTCCTGTTGTTATAATTAAATGCTTATTATGTAAGGGGTGAAGTCTCAAGGGGGCAACCAGTTCATGAGAATTTTTCATCACGTGCAGTCTTGTTTGTAAATGTTAGATGCTAGGGTTACAGCGGTAAGTAACTCGCTTCCGGACTCCCCAAAGTGTGTCCATCATCTACAAGGCACAAGTCTTGGAGTATTCCCCACTTCCCTGGATGAGTGCAGCTGTAATGACACTCAAGAAGCTTGACATCATCCAAGAAAAAGCCACCTGCTTGATTGGCACCACATTCACAAACATCCACTCCTTCCACCACTGATACTCAGTAACAGCAATGTGTAATATCTATAAGATACAGCACAGAAATTCACCAAAGATCCTTCCTAACCCATGACCACTTCCATCTAGAAGGACAAGGTTAGAAGATACATTGGAACGACATCAACTGCAAGTTCCCCTCCATGCCATTCACCATCCTGACTTGAAATATATTGCCATACCTTCACTGTCGCTGGGTCAAAATCTGCAGCAGTTCGAAAAGGCAGCTCACCACTAAGGGCAATGGAAATGGGTAATAAATG